GATTGCTTCCAGGCGGCTTTGGACGTTCAAGTGTGAAAACGTCCTCTGTGAATGCTGCCATAGATCCTGAGCTTACGTCTGGTAAGTATGCATCATTTGACTTAGTGATCAAGATGGTTAGGAATTTAGGCAAGGGAGCCCTCTTAGCAAAATGCAACATAAAATCTGCCTTCAGGCTGCTCTCGGTACACCCAGATAATTTTCACCTACTTGGGTTTCAGTTTGATGGAAAGTTTTATTTTGATAAAGCCATGCCAATGGGGTGCTCGATCTCTTGTTCGGCTTTCGAGATTTTCAGCACCTTTCTTAATTGGTGTGCAGTCAAGCGGTCAGGTAATAGGGCTATAACCCACTATTTAGATGACTTCCTGATTGCTGGAAATCCCAATTCCTCTCAATGTAAGGAAACTTGAGATGATTTTCAGGAACTGATGTTAGAGTTGGGTGTTAAATTTAAATTTAATTGGGGTAAATTTGGCAAAGGTTAAATTAAAGGAAGTGATGTATGCAATTAAATGCATGATGTCATTAACTAATGATATCATATGACATCATTTCGAGTGGGGAGGGGTTTGTAAATTTGTTGTTGATATTTATTTACATACTTTGTCACATGTGGTGAAGGACCACCCATCTGGGTGGGTTATATCTTCACACACTCATGTTACAAAGTCTTGGGGATTTAATTGTACATTTTGTAAATGCATTCTGTAAAGAAAAAATAAAAGTTGTGGCCTGTTTAAATCCCAAAAGAGGCGTCTCGTGTCCTTTGTGCCGGTGCAAAACTTGTATCTTTTCCTTTTGCAAAGCAAAGCACACCCACATATCAAGGCTAATCCTGCCCTAATTACCATGGAACCACCACAAGACCACCATAGGACCATGGCAACCAGATGCCGTGGTCTCGAGGATGGCCACTGCCATGGTCCCAAATGGATCACAAAAAGGAGCAGTAAGAAACTGCTCCGTTTGCAGCCAGGTTTGGTTTTATTAGGTGGGCCCTGAGCAGCCTCCATGCAGCCTCCATGAGATCCAGGGGCATGCATCATGTCTGTGCCCTGCACCCAGATTGGCCTGATGGTGGCCCTTTTGGGCCATCTATTTGAGGCCCCAGACTCATGTTGCCCCTGTGGATGAGACATCTCCAAGTCCCCCTATCCTCAAGTGTTTTGCTCAACTCCTGAAGGTCCAGGTTCATAACCTTTCTGATTCCAAGCATATCAAAGCACACAGTCTTCCTCTCTTTCTACTGCCTTCTACCTTTCCTAGCATTATTGTCTTTTCTAATGAGTCATGCCTTCTCACCATGTGGTCATCTCAGGTTCCAGGGGGAGTTCAGGCTTGATCTGCTCCAGGACCCACTTATTTGTCTTTTTGGCCATGCATGGTATTCATAGCTTCCTAGCTGTGACTGAGAGTTAGAAACATGAGCCAGTACTACACATCAGCTACTTAGGGCCTTTGCAGACTGCCAGAAATAGTGCAAATTAAGTCCACTTTAAGAGTTAGGGTTAGTGCTATGGAATCATGGGAATTGTTTTTTTCCCCTGAGACATTGAGCCTTCTTGGTCAGAGAGCTCTGGTGCCACAATGATTCCCTAACCCCAACCCTAACCCTTAAAGTTTGCACTGTTTATGGCAGTCTGCAAAGGCCCTTAGTTACTGTATCAGGTTACCTAGTAAAGCATACTTAACTATGAAACTATTACAGTCCACCCTACTTATCCACTGATTTTTTTATCCATGGATTCAAGCATCTATGGCTTGAAAATATTCCAAAAACAGTATTAATTCCAAATATCAAGCCTTGGTTTTCCGTTTTATATAAGTTACACCATTTTGCTATGCCATTGTCTTAAATGGGACTTGAGCATCCATAGATTTTGGGGGGAAGCAGACGAGGGCGTCTGGGACGCCGTGGGACAGTGCGCCGTGGGACCATGGCATCCGCACCATGGTGCACCATCGGCACCCCTGAAAGGAGCGCTAAATCAGCGCTCCTTTCAGAAGTCAGTGAAAGTGCACCCCAAAAGCGTAGGGCGCACTTTCACTGACTTATCCGCCACAGCGTGTGCGGACGCTGCGGCAGGAGGTTGCCCTCGGAGCGCCGGCCATGCGGAGGGCCGGCTGCTCCGAGGGCAACCTCGGGAGGAGGAAGGGGCACCGAGCGTGCGGCTGCCCCTCTTCCCTGCCTCCAAGACAACCCAATTAGCCATCTGCCGAGGCCCATTTGTTATCTATGGCGGGTCCTGGAACCAAATCCCAGCAGATAAGGATTCACTGTTTAGAATACCAGTCATGATTACTTAGTCATTTCAATGTGCAGTTGTCCAATTTTCATTTTGCAGAAACAAACTTATTTCCATGTTTCCTAAGTGATTTACTTTTTTTAAGTGCTTAAAAATTGCATGTTTTAAAAATGTGTAAAAGAAGTGCACATTTGAAAAATGAGCACAAACATGTTTCTGTCAATGGGCAATGCAACTGTTTCAAAAGATGCATCAATTTATTTGTTTATTTTTAAAGGAGCACACTCTACTTTGGGGGGAGGTGGCCTTCCTTCTTTGGAGGTTTTAAACGGAGATTGGATAACCATCTTTCAGGGTTGCTTTAGTTGTGTTTTCCTGAATGGGGTTTGGACTAGATTGCTCTTGCAATCCCTTCCAGCTCTAAAATTCTATGATGAAAACATAAATCACAATAACCTTGATGATAGAAGAATAAGAACTTCAAAAAGGTCAAATTTCACAGGTTCATATCCTTATCACTTTCTGTGGGTCTGTTTAAAAATTAGCAATTTGCGCTTATCACAAGGAAGCTGTGGTAATGTTATCACCTGTTGCGGGGGATTTAAACTAGCTTAAAAATGAAAAAAAGGTGAGAAGTATAATGTTCCTGGGGCTTTCACTGTTAGTAAATTTCAGGCTGCAATTGATGCACAAAATTGGCAACATAGGAATTCTTGAGTATGACATATTTTGTGTTGTACACTGTTGGCAAATTTCACATGATTAACTTGAGAATCACAAAACAAAAATAGATGGGGGTTGTTTGTTTTTTGTGAAAATGTCAATAACTTTTAAAAAGTAAATTCATTTGGATGCCTAGTGCTATAGAGACTTCTGTACTTTTGTTTTTGTGCTCAAGAGGCTTGTAAATATAGGATGTCATGAAAGGGCAACTGTCTCTTACACATCAGTACATATTCCCCAAAATGTATGATTGTACACAAAAAGCTTAAAGGTGAGAACACTGATAACATTTTAATGATCACCCTAAAAAGTCATGGAGATTGGAACAGACAGATTTCAGGCTTGGGGGACCTACTTTATAACTTCAAGATCAACCAACTGAAACATGATGCAGAAGACATTCATTTTAAAATCAAGTAACTCTGAGGTGGAAAATTTGTTTTAGTACCCAAACAGAGGAGAATTCAGAATCCTTCCATGTAAAAATGATTCCTAGTAATACACAACTTCCTACATTTTAGCACTGGGGTAGAAGAAGGAAGTCTACAGTATTTGTTGCTGTCCTTTTTAAGCTATTGGGAGTCAGTTATCCATGTTGATTTATGCCTAAATAATCCAGATATTATTGATTGATTGGTTGGTTTTGATATTTAGATTCTGTCTTATATCACAAGTTACCTGGTGATCAGCAACTGAAATCAATTTAAAAAAGCAAAGAACAACCTAAACACATGTAAAACAGTTATAATGTTTAGGTTGTTCTTTGCTTTTTTAAGTCAAGCTACATACAACCTATATTGACCTGGGCAAGATTCTTGGGAGAGCCAGCATAGCATAGTGGTTTGAGTATTGGACTGCAACTACAGAGACCAGGGTTAGATTCCCTGCTCAACCATGAAACCCACTGGGTGACCTTGGGCAAGTCACATGCTTTCAGCCTCAGGGGAAGGCAATGGCAAACCTCCTCTGAAGGAATCTTGCCTAGAAAACCCCATGATAGGTTCACTTTAGGTTGTAATATGCTGGAAACAACTTGAAGGCACACAACAAAAACAACAATTCTTAGACTCAAAGATCCAAATATACTTTTTGCCTACTGCTGCTATAGACTATTCCCCCCACCCCAATTAATTCAACCTTCAATTCTGGAGGCAGATAGATATATACTAATGAGTGTGGTGTAGTGGTTTGAGCATTGGACTACAACTAGAGATTAGAGTTTGATTCTCTGCTCAACCATGGAAACTCACTTTGGATGAGTCACATTCTCTCTCAGCCCCAGAAAACCCTGTTATAGGGTTGCCATAAGTTTGAATCAACTTGAAAGCACACAACTACAAACATATACTGCAGCAAAGAACATTAATTTCCATTAATGCCTCATGCTTTCATATCTTTAACATGTTAGGATTTCAAAAGTTTCACCTTACTTCTAGACAACATAGGTCTTCAGGCCATGACTGAACAGTCTTTTCTCAACATATATTTCATGGTGGTCCCCCCTTCAAATCCCTTCTACTCTAGCATGGAAGTGTTCCAGATATTATTCTTGTTTGCTTTAAGGGATGGTGTCTTAGTAATATTCCAGGATTGACAGCGTTCCCTAAAGAGCTGTATCTTTTCCTTAAGCCTAATAGTTATTCCTTTATGTTTGTGATTTTCTTGGCAAAGCTCAGGAGACCCTTCAATTTTAATAGCTCTAAGGTGAAAACATATTTCTTTGGCTTATCTGCACCTGCCAATCTTACAATATGAGGTTCTGTCTTTCCCTCAGCAAACTGGAGAGACAGGCTAATCCATTTTCAGCTTGGGGCTAAGACCTATTTCTTCGTCTTTCCAGCTTTCCAGATAATTATGCCTCTGCACGTCAATAGCCCCTTCAGACCTCCCATATAGCAGAACATCAAGCAGTTACATCTATCTGCCTCTTACTTAAATAACATACTACAGACTTGATTCAATTAGATTTTTAAGCTGGCATCTCAAGATGTTCCTAGTTAGTAAGATATTCTTCTTCTAAGCCAATTCAAGGGTTTCCTTGGTGAGTTCTTCTTTGATTCCAAAAGTAAGTGAATGTGATTCATATTTGTTCAACCCGCTTACAACCTGGTTCTTTTCAAAAGAAATGCTAAACAATCCGCTTCCAAAGAACCAGTTCTTTTGGAATTGCACCAATTCACCCGGATTGAGCATAACACACTCAATTCTGAAATCGACTTGAGTGTGAATGAGGCACATATAAACCACTGGGAAGAGTCCTATATACAGTGGTCCACCCAAATAACACTATGCCAGTGCCCAGATAGTCCAACTTAAGAAAATATACCCTGATTTTTTTTAACCAAAACTGTTCATAAAGCCTCAGAAATGATGCCCTCATCTTGATTTACTTTTAATATGTAAAGTAAGCAATTTGTATATTTTGGGCTAAATGTAGTCTTAATGCCAAATAATGTAGTCCTATAGAAAAAAAATGGGATTTATAGTCACCACTTACATCAATCCCATTAATTCTACTAAGTGTGTGTGGTGGTTAGACTAACAATGGATTCATCACTGTATGTAAATAGGTGGATGTTGATATTTTCCTTGGCAGCAGAAGGGATAAGTCCTAGTTGAAAGAGGTCAACATTACTATTAGTTTTTGTGGGTTTTTCGGGCTGTTAAGCCATGTTCTAGAATGTGGGTTTTTCGGGCTGTTAAGCCATGTTCTAGAAGAATGTATTCTTGATGTTTCACTTGCATCTGTGGCTGGCATCTTCAGAGAATAGTGACATGGAGGTGTGTGGGGTATATATTGTTAAGGAAAATGCAACATGGGACATACAGTGATAGAA